TCCATGGAGCTATATGTATATATAGTCCGATGTTGAATCATGTTAGCATCAAAGCTGATTTTGGCATATGAAGTTACTTAAGAGCTTTACTTCTGCTAGATTTTTCCCTTAATAACCATATATAGTATGTCGAGAGTATATAAGCACACCACAAAGGTATCCTATTCTCCATTCTAGAGGCCGGGGCATGAGGGAAGTTGTCCAAAAAGTTAAATATTCTCTAGCTGAGCATACTTTGCGAGAATCTTCATACATTATGCTTAAGAAATGTAGCCCAAAAGCGATCGATATTTATCGATATCTTAAAAATTAGAGAAAATATTGAAGAAAAAATGTTAAATTATATATGCTAAATCTTAAGCTGTTGTAGTTCTCGAGATCGACGCGTGACTAGATACAGATCAAGCATATATATACTTGTCAAATCAGACCAAAAGTAAAGTTTTGTGAATGCAAATTTGTGGTACAAGCCTTGCACTTAACAGAATGTTAACAGGCTATGTTAGGCTATTGTGTGTGCTGTTAAGCGGCTGTTACGAAATGGCGCGCTGTTATGTTAACCTTATGTTGTAGCTAGAAACAATGTTGTCAGCAGCTCTATGCGATTTCACGTGATATTTGCACCGTTTTCTATTAGATTTATCAACTGTGTGAGTCTAAAATATTTGAAACGGACACTAAAATCCGAGCAGCTGAAGCGCATGTCACGCACAGCAGCAAAAACAATGAGAACCAGTTGAGTGCTACGTGATAACTGGAAAATAATTAACTTAGTGTAGTCAAATATCTCGAGCTGGGGCTGGGCTCGCATTTGGGCAGCCGCGTTTCAATCGGAGGCTGGACGCATGAGAGCTGCACAAAACAGCATCTGCGACGGCGGCAACAACAAAAACAAAAACAAAAAAACATATATTATTTTGATGGCCGTGCGCAGAGAAAGTCACGATTTACAGAAGAAACAAAAATCCAAAAAAACAAGCGGCAAAAATAATTACAACTACCTTTTTTTTATTATTATTTTACATTTTTTTTTTTTAAGAGCAACAAGCTGTAAAACAAGAAGAAGCAGCAGCCGAAGAACACGCAACACGCTTAAAAATTGCTTGCAATAAAATTTGTTTATTTAATTTCTTCAAGCAACAATTTCTTGAAAAAAAAAGAAGTGCTTTAACGACTTCTATGGAAATCGGAGCTTTAATTTTGTTTTTGTATATAAATTAAAATCATGAGCCATGACAGCGGCGGTCAAGGTACAGGCGACAGCCAGAAGCAGTTGTTGTTGTTGGTCTTCTTTTTCAATTGTCAACGCGAGTGGGCGTGGCCGGAAGTGGCGAGTGATTAGAACTAATTGCCAGGTAAACAAGTCGCCGCCGCTCGGGTTCAAAGACAGGTGAAAGGCCAGTCGCTAGAGCCGCTACGCTTTCCCTGGCCCCGCCGCGCCTCTAGCTAAAGTGGGAGGGCGGGGAGAAAGAGAGAGAGGGGGGGGAGGAAGTATCGCTGTCTGTTATTGTAGCTGCCAAATAATTTGCTGCGGCTCGGCTTGGCGATTATCATTGTAATTATGCTCAATGCGGTTGCGATATTGCGGCTATTTTTGTGATTACCCAGCATCGCATAGCACAGCTCGGAGCTCGACCAGCGGACGCCTGCATCTAACAGAGATGCCGACAACAACAACAACAACAATAACGACGACAGCGGATGTGAATGACGGTCCACGAATGACGAATGACGCGGAGACATACTGGAACGCACGGACGGATGCTGTTGATGAAAGCCGAATGACGCTCGCACTCTCGCCTCGGAATGCCTTTTCATGCCGTTGACAGCGGCAATCGATTTGATGACTTTGATATTGGGGATAGTCCATTATTGAGCTATCGATAAGCCAGCGAATTGTGTTGCTCGGGCCAGATCGGGCAACTGTCACTCAAGAATGTGAAGAGCTGTTCGACTGCAGTCCATTTGCCCAGCCTCCTGTCAATCAAATGTCAAAATTGTCAGCCAGTTGACGTTCTAAGCCTTACAAGGTGGCAACGCTGCAAGCATATGTAAATACTTGCCAGATCGATGCTTATCACTTTTTTGTCGATAATTTATCGATTGCTCATGTCATTCAGTTGAGACATACTTTCTCATATGTCGCGAACAAAGTTGCTGTTAGCTGACGAGCAGTTATATTGCTTGCCATTGTTGTGCTACAACTTTTGTTAACCAAATGTCAAATTTGTCAATCAGTTGACAACTGCCTAGCAGCGCCTGCTAAATGTTGCCAAGCACATGCTTGACCTATCGATAAGTTATCGATTGTTGATGTAACTCTGTAAAAGTTCCTATCTCACGCCCGTGCTAGTTTTTTATAAGCATAAAAAACCAAATTCACGTTTAACAACATGTTAATTATAATATATGTATTTGCATGCAATAACGAGTCTCTAACTTGACAAGTTCTTTTTGATTAATCAATTAATCAAAAGTGCTGTATTATAAGTATAAAGCTGTTTGATTGATGGGCAGATCGTTTATCAAGCTGCAAGAAAAGGGGGTCAGCACTTTTTTTAAGCTGCTTCTTTTTCACATTTCTTGTGTGCATGTAAAAAGGTTGAATGAAAAATGTTGTGTATGTGGACGGAAAACTGTTTTTCTTATGCAGAAAAACGAATGTTAAACTTAAGCAATAAAGCTACGCAGACAAAAAAGACGGCTAATATTTATTTTCTGAGAGCTAAGTTTAACAATAAACACTATCGACAGGCTTACATTGCCCTATCATAGCTCACAAATACTTTTAATAGAAATCGCTTTATTAACAGCTTTCAAAAGTAACATTAGTATTGGCTTTAAAAAACACCTTACACTGTTAACAGTTGTGTAACAGATCAAAGATACGTTAGAAAGGGGACGAGCTGTATTAACAGTTATTTAACATGCCATTAGAATGTTAATAGGAGAATTTTAATTATTATTAACAGTTGCTTAACGGTTCATAGCAATATTAGCAATGGAAGGCGCTCCACTAACAAATATTTAACGTGTCGTAGTTATTTAGCATGCCATAAGAATGTTAATTAGAGCTGTTTGTTTAGCAGATCTTGGATATGTTAACAAGGGAACGCGCTGCACTAACAGTTGGTCAACATAAAAGTTTGACTCTCGGCGAGCTGCCTAACATGCCTTAGAAATGTTAAATAAAATTGTGTAACATTGTTTGAAAATGTTAACGAAAGTGCGCTCACTGTTAGCTTATCAATAGCAGCAGCATCTGGGCACATGGCCCCCAGCTTCAGCTCCAGCTACAGCTCTTACCTAATGCCCGCTGTCGAAATGCCTAACCTCAATCGTAAATATGAATAACATAAAATTCGCATAGGCAATGTTTGGATGTCATGAACCGATATATGTACATATTATGTATATATGTAAGTAATGTACAACGCAAAACAATTTGCCGCCACGTATTTATCATCATTTAGTGGCGCCTCCGAATGCCCGCCAAAGAGCGGCCCTTCCGCTGCAACAAGTTTGTTGCCTAAGTCTTTCGTTTGTGTTGTGCTTTTCGCCTCGACTCAGATCGGATCGGATCGGATCGCAAGTGTCTTGAACTTTTCGCCCGGGCTACCATTTGGGCATTATGAAAGATCTGCGAGCACAAAAATGATTTATAGAGCCACATAAACAGTTAATAAATACGCTGTAAATCACAGTAAACAACATGATGGATCGAATGCGAATGGAAGTGGGAATGCAAATGGCAGGCTTTGAAGAAAAACAAAAAAAACAAAAGGAAAACTAAAACGAAAACGAAATTCATCTGGAAAAGTAATACCTCAAATTGTGTTGTGCATAATTTCAATAATAAATTTTTTATAATTTTCAACTTGTTTCTTGCCTGTCGATTGACGACGGTTGTTGTTGTTGTTGTTGTTGTTGTCGGTTGCTGCAAGTGAAGCGTAGAATTACGTGAAAGAAAAGTGAAATTATGCAGCGAATACGAAGCGCGGCAACAAGTTGCTGTTACAGTTGTTGTTGCTGCTGTTGTCACAGTTGTTTTTGTTGTTGTTGTTGTTGTTGTTGTTGTTGTTGTTGTTGTTGTTGTTGTTGTTGTTGTTGTTGTTGTTGTTGTTGTTGTTGTTGTTGTTGTTGTTGTTGTTGTTGTTGTTGCTGCCTGTGTGTTTGTGGTGCGTGAAAGCAGCTACAAGCGTTTTAAGCATCGCCTCATTCGATGCGTGCGACCCAAATTTTGAAATTCAATTGCAAGTTCAAGTTTTCTATATATCTGCAATACCCTTTAAAGCGTTGCGCATTGTTGTCATGGCAAATCGTTTTGGTTGGGCCTTGAGCTATCCGAATTCTTCACGTTTATATTTCTTATTATGTTTTCATCTATATTTCACGCTTCTAAGTGAATATCAAAACTCATTTGTTGCGCTTAATTTGCTTTGAATAGAATAGATAACCTGCAATGCAATGAAATGTGTAAAGTGCACAGGATGAAACCTCTTCGTCTCCATTAAGTTATATATTCTCGATCAACAACAAGTTGATAACATGTCTATCTATCTGTTTCACAGCGATCAAGTCACTCAGCCTTTAAGCTATGCTCTTTAAGCCGTGCATAGTTTTGTCTTTTTGTTTCAGACAGTATGTATATTTCGGAATCTGTCGGATCGGACTACTATATCGTATGGCTGCCATAAGAACGATCGGTCGATAAGTAGCTTCTTGCATGGACAACTTTTTTGTTTAACAAGACAACTTCATAGGTTTAACTGAGTTGGGCATCTAAAGCGTCGACTTAGATCCAATTTGTTGTCTTTCCTGCTGTTTGCTTCTGCTTTAAGCACATTCTTTCACCTGCCAATTGACATGCAACGCACGTCCATCGAAACGCCCGCAGCTCACCTTTCGCTCTTTTTCTTTTACTTTTTGCAGTTGCGCCTGAGGCAGCAGCAGAAGTAGCAGCAGCAGCAGCAGCAGCAGCTCTCAATTGGCCGAAGATTATGATGATGATGATGTCGTCGGCGTCGGCGTCGACGCCGGCATCGACAGACTGCAGCAGCAGCAGCATGCAGGGCTCGACAACCAGCAGCGCCTCGAGCGATGTCATGACGCTGACCACCACGGCGGCCTCCTCGTGGTGCGCAATGCCGGCTAGCACGCGGCTGCGCGTGGTGCGCCTGGTGCGTCCGCATCAGCGCCGGCTGCTGGTGGTGCCGGAGCGCAGCGCCACGTTCGGGTTTGCGGTGCGCGGCGGCAAGGAGCACGGCATCGGTTTCTTTGTCTCGCACGTCGAGCATGGCGGCGAGGCGCAGCTAAAGGGATTGCGCGTAAGTGGATCAGTGGATCAGTGGGTCGGCGGGTCAGTCACGTAGCACGTAGCACCACACCCGACTACATGACTGCCGCCGCCCAGTTGAACGAACTGTGCTCACTCTCTTGCCTTCCCATCACTTCCCCTCACAGATCGGCGACCAGATCTTGCGCATCAACGGCTATCGACTGGAGGATGCGGTGCACAAGGAGTTCATACAGCTGGTGGCCAGCCAGGATCGGGTCACGCTCAAGGTGCGCGGCGTGGGCATGCTGCCAGTCAAGGAGTAAGTCCTGATTCAACTAATTGCACAAACAGAATGCTCTAGTCTGGCATGCTCGACTAGCAGATACCCTGCACTCAACGCCAAGCTGCTGGAATTGTTTTCTTAATTACCTTCGGTGTTTATTGTCCGATCTTTCTTATGTCAGACATAAAATGTGTGCATACCAAAGCAGGATTCTAACCTAAAAGTGAACTGATTTTTATCAATTCCAGGGATTACTCGGAGAGTTATTAAGCTATATATTGTGTGTCTCGTTGAGTGCAGTTTAATCATAATTTCCCCCAAACCAAACTCTAATGAATGTCAATTTTGCAGTCAGCCGGATGAGCGGCTGTCGTGGAGCGTGGTCAAGCTGCCCAGCGTGAGCGGCACGCCCTCGGAGAGCTCGTTCAAGGCGTCGACGGAACGGCGCACGGCCAGCCGGGACATCAATGTGGTGCTGCATGTGGCGCCACGCACCAAACTGGGCCTGGGCATCTGCAAGGGGCCCGAGTGGAAGCCGGGCATCTTTGTGCAGTTCACCAAGGAGCGGAGTGTGGCACGCGAAGCGGGTCTGCGGCCGGGCGATCAAATCCTGAGCGTGAACAGCATCGACTTCTCGGATGTGCTCTTCAGCGAGGCCGTCGCCGTGATGAAGGGCTCAAGTAAGCTGGACATGGTGGTGCGCACCGCCGCCGGCTGTGATCTGTTTCCCGGCGAGTCCAGCGGCTACAACAGCTCCGCCAGCTCCGTGACCGGCGATCAGAGTCCCTGCTGGGCGGACGCCAAGTCCAAGCGCCTGACCGCAGTGCGCGAGGAGCCCAGCCAAGCGGCCGGCGCCGTCCACGTGCACAAGCAGCTCAACAAGACGATCATCAAGCTGACCGAGAACGGCACCTCCATCAACAGCACCTACATAGCCAATGCCAATCAGCAGCAGGAGCAGCTGTCGGTTAGCCGCAGCACCACAATGCGACGCAGCTGCTCGGTTTCAGCGCCAGCTCCACCGCCGCCAGCGGCAGCAGCGCTGAGCAGCGGCAATGCTGCCGCGGCCGGAGGAGGAGCAGGAGCAGGAGCTGGCGCCAGCAACAGCAGCAGCCTCTCCAGTGCCATAAACGAGGAGCTCAAAAAGCGCAAGGAGGTAAGCTTGTTGCTATACCCTGTAATCCTCTGTCAGCCCATAGTCAACATAGATTTCAGTTCGAGGCGTTAGGCTGATCCAAGCTGATTCCCGGTCCGTCTGGCCAGATTGCAATTTCCTGCAAAGCATACGCTCATAAAATACATTCCCAATTCTCGATAAGCTACAATCGATAACTATTTCCATTCTTCATAAGCGACAATCGATAAATATCGATATGCAAACCTTTTTTCTATAGATCTACACAAGCTAAAGACTTCCCATTTGTAACTTAAAACTCTGGTCTAGTGCAGCAAAATGAGATTACATTTTTTCACAATCTTCTCAAAATCGATAAATATCGATGGGTCTACCTCTAGATTTCTTTAAGTCCATAAATTCCTAGTTAAAGTTTATGTATGCCAATCACAGCTCAAGTTTATTTCAATCTACTTCGATAATATTTGTGGTTTCTCTAAAATCGATAAATATTTTAGCTTATGCCTGGACTTTCTTATTCATATCTCGAAGATTTTAAGGTCTTTGAATGCCAAACTTTGTCTGACTGCTTGTATACTCAATGCAGAAGAAGCTGAGTTGGCTTTTTACTGATGATCGCTACTTTTATTCATAATCGATAAATATCGATTATCGACAAGCCTTCAAATTTGGCATGTCTGTATGAGGAATCTTTTATTTCATGCTTTTATCGAAGTCGATTACAGAGCAACCACTAGTAGGGCACTCTCGACTTGCGACTGTTAGCCACATGCAGCTAATTGTGTGTCTTTCTTGCAGAAGCAACAGCAGCAGCATCTGGTGGGGCAGCGGAGCAGCTGTGGCAGCCACTTGAGTCGCGATCGCGATCGGGCCAGAGATCGCGATCAGCGAACTGAAGATCGGCCGCACAATGGCGCCGGCCGCGGCAACGTTGCACAAGTGTCGCACAAGCGGGAACGCAACACAAGCGCTGCCGGTGCAGCGACTGCGACGTCGACTTCGACTGCGACGTCGACTGCGGCTGGCGTTGGCGATCAGCACACTGCGCTGATGGATGAATTTAAGCGCGCGCATCAGCGCATGTTCAGGAACGGGTTCCATGAGAGCGAGCACAAGGTGAGCCGCCACACACACACACACACACACATCTTGCAGTTGTTGTTGTTGTTGTTGCTGCTGCTGCTGCATTGTTGCAACACAAAAAAAGCAACCCGCAGCAGCAGCAGCAGCAACAATGGCTACTTGCAAAGGTCAAGAGAGCTGCGGACTGCACTTGTTGTTCTTATTGTTGTTATTGTTGTTGCTGCAGTTGATTGTTAGCCATGTGAAGTATTTGTTAGCCACTTGAATGAGGTGAATGAGGGCACAACAAGTGACTAAGTGCGAAAGAGATAGAGCGAGACAGAGAGAGAGAGAGAGAGAGAGGGCGGCGGGGCGAGGCTAAACAGTCGCCGCAACTGCAAATTAGGTCTTTCCTCGAGCCCCATAGATAAACCTAATTGCTAGGCACTACAAAAAAACTCAATAAATCAATTAATATACAGTGAAAGCTCTTTAAAGCGAACCAATACCAATACCATCCACTCTTCTACTAAGTACTCTTATTTAAAAATACTTTGAAGAAAAGAGAAATGTGCATATATTTAGTTCAAACTATGTGCTTCATAATTTTCCAGACTTTTATTCATGTCTTTTTTATGTTAATAATCAGTTTCTGATACATTTTTGAATAATGCTTATGCTGTGCATGTTGCTATACCCTGTAATCCTTTATGAGACCATACCCGGTATAGATCCAAGATCGAGACGTTAAGCTAAGCCAAGCTGATCCCCATTTTTCTGTCTGACCAAATGAAAGTTTCCTGCAAGATATACGTGGAAATATAATTAATAATATATAATTATTCCAAGCTTTCGATTAGCGACAATCAATAAATATCGCTATAGAAACCTTTTTTCAATTCGTCTACAGAAGCTCACGACATCCAATTCATTATTTGAAACACTGTTAATAACAAATCAAAATAAGTGTTGGTAAATTATCAAACTATGCTTAAGAGAAACCAGTACTCAAAATCGATATTTATCGATGGAAAACAAAATTTAAAACTCGTTCGTCGTATTTCTTATTTATTTGTAACTTTCTAGACTTTGTAGCCACAGACAAACATGGTTAGTTATTTATACTTGATGTGTACAGAGATATTTCCCTCCAGTTTGATTTATTGCACACCAATATCATGGGTTCCGTTCGCTTAAGAGTTGTTACGCCATAAATAGGCCACTTTATGCGCAAAAGTTAGCCCAAACAAATTAGTTGAGCCCAAACAAATTAGCTGTCCGCTAGTAGAGCTTTCACTGTATTTTTGTTTGCCTATCTATGCCCTGAAACCCATTGAATATGGGTAAAAAGGGTATACTGTTTTTTTGCCAATATAACAGGGCGAAGGCAACATATCCGAATACAGAAAGTATATATATTCTTCAGTAGCATCAATAAGCCGAGTCGATCTCAGAACTTATAAAAGCTAGATAATTACGCGCGCAGTATAAGTTTGTCTCCGAAAATCGATAACTTGCCCCCGTTTGCAAGTAATCGATAAAAATCGCTATCGATATTCTGTTTTCGTTAGCAATAAGTGCTAAAATCACCAAACTTAACATATTGCTTCTAAAATACTAGTATATAGTATAGCTATCACCCCTCTCTCCCCCCCTCCCTCTGCTCCTAGCACGAGCTGCATTTGCTGTTGGTGGCGGAAGGTTCAGGGTATACGCCGGTCGGGCACTCCCGACTGCAGCACTTTAAAATATATTTTCTTTTTGTTTATTTATTCTCTGAGAGATACAAAAAAAAGTACTTGATTTTTATCGGTCAATATGCCTTTAAAATCAAAATAATTCCAAAGTCTCGCAGAGTCAACACGACAAATATCGGCTATTGCTAATGATTGATCAATGTATACATATCTTTATATATATACTTTTGTTGCCGTCAGTTTTCAGCGCACATTTGCACAATTTTATGATGTCCTTTATAGCCTAGTTCCGCGAGCAAAGCGAAATGAAAGTTATTTGATTTCTAGTGAAAAATAATAATAAATGCCTGCACTAATCTAGAGTGTTTAGCTAAGCGATACCCTGCCGCAAGTGCAGACGGGGCATATGCATGCATCACATGTTCTTTGTGCACATTATTTCAATAACCTGCCCCAAAGCCGAACTTTACCAACTTTAGCTAGAAAAGATCCTGAGTTAAGCACGTTTGTCACCTTTAAAGAGACAAACATGTCGGCAGATATAAAGATATAGATAATGAGCTAAACAATTTAGCTGGTTAGCCTTTTTAGCAGTATTCCAATCTATTAATACGAACTGTAAACAAATCACACACACACACATTGATGTTTGTTTTGTGACCTTGTCACTGGGTTTTTTTTTTTGTCTTTTGAAACCAAGTTTGCGTTTGGCAATTAGTTGGCTTTCCCTTTTTTTGGACAGCGTTTCGTCTCATTGCAGCCGCCCGCAGCAGCACCAACACAATGACTCACCACACAAGCAAATAGTGTGCGTGTGTGTGTGTGCGCTGCTCAATGGGCCGCTTGTTATCTTATCAGCTGCGACAGGTGAGCTGCCGCCAACGCTGGCGCTGGCGCTGCTCGAGCAGCTCGCATGCCCGGGCGTCCAGTCTAGCGAGCGATTTGCGAGCGACAACAGCTGCAACAAAAGCCGTCAGAGCAGAGTGATAACAGCCGCAAGAAGAAGAACAAGTAGAAGAAGAACTAGTCAGAACTCAATATCCGTCATCCGAGCCATGAGTTTGCTACGTCCCAAAAATGTGGGCGGCAACAGCAATGAGGGGCGTGCCAGCGATATGCCCACCATGCGACCAGTCACCATGGGCCGCCCCCTGGTGACCATGTCCACCTACGAGGTAGCCCAAGCCAGCGACAATCAACCAACCATCCATCAATCAATCAATCAAACAATCAATCAATCAATCAGTGCAGCAATTAAATGCTTAAAGTGCCATTTTTTGTTCATTGTTTTTAATTTTTATTTGGCTTTTGTCTATTTGCAGGAGCGCGGCGAGACGCTGAAGCGCACCTCGATTATGCCCGATGATAGCTGCTATCGCAACAACAACAGCAACAACAGCAACAACAACAACAGCAACAACAACAACAGCAACAACAACAAGAGCCACAATAATATTGGTAACAATATTGCCAACAACGGAAGCAATCGCATGTCGCTGCTTAACGGCAGCAACAACTACAACAACAACAAAAGCAACATCAACAACAACGTGAATGGCACGCCGGAATTGCCGCCGCCGGTAAGTAATTGCGCCTAGGGCCATAAATTGCAATACAAATTTGCTGCCAGCTGCGCAGCCCGCAGCTAGTTAGAGCGAGATGGCGAGAGAGTTTGCAGCTTGCATTCAGGCAAATGCAATTAAACGAACCAGTTCCAGTTCATTTGCTTATGTAGCTTGTGAACCAACAAAGGGAACCGAACTAAATATGTGGTTCGGCTCAGAAATGTCAACTGTGGAGCGCAAAGCAAAGATCTTCGCTGCCAAAATTATCCTGCTTGCAAAAATATCCTGCTTGCAATGTTTGCTGTAGAAATAATTTGTTCCCATTTAAAAGCTAAAAAGTGAAAGTGAAATATCACAAATTTACAAACTAAACTTATAGCAGGGTGCTGGTTCGAACCAGTGTAAATATACCGTTCAACCAGCATCCCAAACTGAACTAAGCAGGAGAGTACTGGTTCGAACCAGCGACTTCAACAAGAGCTAAAGTTCAATTTATTTATATTTATTGTGCATTTCTATCTGTAAATCGTTAATTTCTAAAATTATATATTTTTATATATTTATAATTTGTACAATTGATAAGCACAAATATTTATCTGGTTCTATTTTGCCGTGCACATTTAACTAGAAAGTTCTGCTGTTTTTTTTTTTTATACCCTGAACCCATTAAAAATGGGTACAAGGGTATATTGTATTTGTGCGAAAGCCAAATGTATGTAACAGGCAGAAGGAAGCATCTCCTACCCCATAAAGTATATATATTCTTGATCAGCATCAATAGCCGAGTCGATCTAGCCATGTCCGTCTGTCTGTCCGTCCGTCCGTCCGTATGTATGAACGCAAGGATCTCAGAACCTATAAGAGCTAGAGACTAGAACCTCTTACTTGTTTTTATATTTTTTTATTTTTATTGATTTCTTGTATATGAATATTTACAATACAACTTATTCGACTGTTAGGTCTAACATAAGAATTTAAAAAGATAGCTTGATTATCTAAACCGATCTAAGAGATTTTTGTTATATTTGTGTTATTTAGTTTTGCATTATTTGACTACAGGGTATTTGATAGTCGACTAGATCACACTCAAATTAAAATAGACAGATTTTGGCCACGCTGGCAACTCTGTGTATGATATGATATCTAGCTCTATTTATATATTTACTTATCTTTCTTATTTGTCATTCTCGCTCACTCTGCCCCTCCCCCTCCCCCTCCCCCTCCCCCACCTCTCTCTTTCTCTGGTTGCAGCCGCCGCAGTTTGCCAATCCTCAACAACAGCAGCAGCAGCAGCAGCCGCCGCCGCCGCCGCAGCAGCAGCAGCAGCAGCAGCTGAAGCTGAACATAGCGAATGGCGCCAGGAGCAAGCAGCTGACGTCTCCGTTGTCGCCCGTGCGCAGTCCCAGCATCAATGTGGGCGGCTTGCGCGCGCCAGCCACGCCCCAGCCGGACTACGAGGCAGCCAGCGTGCAGCTGCGCAGCAATGGACAGCCAGCAGCAGCAGCGGCAGCAGCAACAACAACTGGCAGTCAGCAGCAGCAGCAGCAGCGACTCACGCTGCGGCATGGAGCGGTTACCATTGGCGAGTACGGGGAGCAGCGGGGCAAGCGTGAGACGCTGCGCAAGATGCCAGCGAATGCGAATGCGAATGCAAATGGCAGCGTCCAGACGAACGGCATACTCAAGAATGGCAGCCGCAGCAGCAACAGCTTCGGCAGCAGCAGCAGCAACAACAACAACAATAACGGCAGCAGCGGCAGCGGCAGCAACAACAATGGCCGCCAGCAGATGCAGCAGCCGGAGAAGTCCATTAAATTTGGCAACTGACTGTGGGCGGCAAATTAGCTGTAAAACATTTGTGCAATATGCTTATGGTAGGCGTGGCCGCCACCTGCCCACATGCTTAGTACAAAGAGACATCAGGCGGAGCGGTTGATTTTACATTAATATATACTTTTTTTTTTTTACACTAAACTAAAGATACTTTTTTTTATATATATATATTTATATATACCATACTATATACATATATTTGTTGAATATTTGTTAATATTATTTAACAATTAAATGCTTAGCTGCTATTATTTAATGTACGTAATAACTATACTTAAACTATACGCCCACACGTATATATATATATACATATATAAATAACGATTTGTAATAAAAGCCGAAAGCAAACAGACAAAAAGAATCAACAAAAAACAATTCGTTGATAAGCTGTGAAAATATTTAGCCGCTTGCGTCAGCTACCAAAGAGCGCAATCATTAGACACAGGCTGACAAGCCCAAAACATTGTCACATTCCTTAATTTAGCCAGAAATTGCGAACAACTGCCAATGTTTTTATCTCTTTTATCCGGGCACATTAATTTATAACGTTCGATAGGCAATCGATTGCGTTCAATTGCCGCCGCTCATCACGAGTTTGACGAAACTTTCGATTTCGCATCGATTTGCGTGCAGTGCCAAAAGCTAACAGCGTACGTGCAGGCAAAAGATTGCTGCGTACATTGCATACTTTTAGGATTTGCGCAAATAACGGCATTTGCAAATTTTGGCGAAACCTCTTACATGGCGTGACGTCACGTCTTTGATCGTTGTGCATTTACCGTTTGACGTTTTCGCAATATTTATCAGTTTTTATTTTGTTGCACACAATTTAAAAAATAGCGCACAATGATTATCTAAAATTGTTTACTACTTTGTTAAATTAAATATATTATAAATCTATACACATATGACAGCTAGCTGTAAATCAATATCAAAATGTATTTAATACATAACAAATAAATTATTGTGTGTGTGACGTCATGCGCACTACAGCGCACTAGCGTAATCTGTAGAGTGCGCGCAGCTCAGTCGGCAAAGGTAACGGAACCAGAAACAACTGCAAAATACGTGAGGACCCTGCGAACGCCAAAGAACACTTAAGATAGAGCGAGACGCCATGCTTCGTTCCTGTATTTATCTGATTTCACGTGTCTGCCTTTAATTTGTCGGAGCATGCGCTCATGCAATAGGCGCGAGCGAGATGGCAGCTGGAACTTGACAATTTGCCCAAAGGGAACAGTGTTGCCAGCTGCAGTAAGTATCGCGCAGCGTTGCCCACTTGGCGAGTCCTTTGGCAACACTGGGGACGCCAACAAATCGTTTTTAAATTCAAGTCTACAAAGTTGGCCGTGATATTTGAAGCTGTATGACTTGCAATCTGGCATTGAAACGTGAAGGAGCATTCGAGCAGACCTAAACTAACAAAAGTAAACTCTCCGCAATATTGAAAACCAGAAGAAGAAAAGCCCCAAGACCAATTCGAAATCATATTTTAAGTGATATTCAGCACAAGCCAGCGGCGTATGATCGCAGTTCTTTGCAGTTCTAAGTTGACCTGAAATCAAAAGAAAACTCATATCAAAATGTCAGACCGTCCCTCGCGCGCAGAGGTCCTGAAGCTGAGCCTGGGTAAGCTGTACCACACTCCAAAAGCTCACCATAGATTCTAGTACCGCCCCTACCCCGACGCCACAGACGAGTACATTCATCTCTATGTGCACGCCGATCACAAGAACAAGATCTACGGCAGACGGGGCCCCTACCCAAGTCAGGCCCAACAGCGGCGCCGCTACGAGCACTCCCACTACTTTGCGCCCGCCTATCAGCGCCAGCAGCAACAGCAACAGCAACAGCAACAACAGCAGCAGCAACAGCAGCAACAGCAGCAACAGCAGCAGCAGCAACAGCAGCGGTTGCAGCAGCAGCGCGAGGAGCAGTTGCGTGCGCAGCAGCAGGAACGCTTGAAGCTGAAGCGGGAGCAGCAGCTGCGCTTGCAGCAGCAGCGGGAGCAGCTGAACGCGGTGGAGCAGCTGCAGGGTCAGCAGCAGCAGCGCATGAACGAGACGCTGGAGACGCTGTGCATCAGCCAGGACTGCATCAGCCAGCTGCGCCAGGAGCAGCAGCGTCTGCAGCAGCAGAACCTGGAGGAGATGCGCCTGCTGCAGCAGCGGCTGCGCCAGCAGCGGCAGCAGGGCGTCGAGGAGATGCGCCTGCTGCAGCAGCGGCATCGCCAGCAGCGCATGGCCCTCCAGCAGCGCATCGATGACGAGGAGCGCACCGATCGCCAGCGTCGCCTGGACCAGCATCATATACTACAATTGCGCACACTGCAGCAGCATCGGCGCGAGCAGAAGCAGCTGCAAACCCAGCAGCAGCAGCAGCGCCTCCAGCAGCTGTTCCACAAGCAGGAGCAGCGCCGCCAGGCCATGGGCGTTAACAACTACAAAATGCTGTTGAAGCTGGCATCGGATATGTCCACAGCGGCCACTCGAGCCCAGCCCCAGGAGGAGGCCAAACCCACCCAGGGCCTGCTGATGCCGCCACGTTTTGTGGTCTCCGAGCTGCCCAGCTGGTATATACCGCCCAAGCTGGAGTACGCCGCAGGCGTGCAGATCAAGAAGGAGGAGCCGACGAGCGACAAGAAGATGCGCTTGTCCTCCGTGCAGGAGTCCGTCAATCTCAGCAGCGATCTGCTCCTGGACAGAGCCGGAGTCGGAGTCGGAGTCGGGGTCAGCATCAAGAAGAAGGTCAAGTTCGATCTGAAGGAGGAGTACGTGACCAACGGCATCTCCACCGAGGAGGTAATTGCCGAGATTGAGGATCAGATGAAGGAGGAAATCGAAATGGAGGACGACATCAACAGCGACATGCTCTATATACCCACCAACTTTTCGTTGAGCGAATGAATTGAATTGAATACCCTGCACACCAGATGCCAAAAGGGAGTCCGAGCAGAACTTGATGAACGAATGATTTGATACACTAACCAGAAGACCAAAGGCCAAACGAAAGGCACACAAGAAAAGCCGAATAACGTGGTACACTGCAGCAAAAAAGATACACTACAAAAAATGTTAACATGCAAAATAATGAATACTTAAATACACTACAAATACCACGCGAATACAAAATGCGACGATGTGTGCAAAACGAATTTTTAATGCACTAACCTCAAGCAAAAAATGAGAGAATTTGTGAAAATAACGAATATCTTAATGCACTACAAAAAAAAAAAAAGAATATTTGAAGTATGCGAATATTTAAATACACTACACACAAGGTAAGAGAGGGGAGAATATGTGAATATGTTAATACACTGCACAAAAAAATATGTGAATAGCACGAATATTTTAATACACTACACGAAAAAAAAAGAGAAAATATGAATAGCACGAATATTTTAATACACTACACACAAGCCTTTTGTCGCTTGTGAGAATATGTAAATATTTTACGCGAAAATAAAATACGGATTGAAACGAATATTTTAATACACTACACACAAGCAAACTCAAACAAAAGGGAAGAAACGCGACTATTTTGATACACTACAAAGACGAGTATGTGAAAAACGCGAATATTTAAATACACTGCTCAAAAAATAAATCGGAAAAAAACGAAATATTTCAATACACTAAAAAAAAATGGTGTAGAAAACCACAATTAAAATAAAATAAAAACAAGAAATGCAATTATGGCACAATATAAACCCAATATCTGTTTGCTTGTGGCATGCAACATCGTGTTGCACAACAATCGGTGGACATGAACATGGCAACCGGGACCAACTGGCAAACTGGCAAACTGGCAAATCTCGTTCCAGCCTTCCAGCCAATTGACCGACTCGACGCAACGCTGCCTTTGCCAGAGCTCAGCTGCCAGAATTGGTCAAGATTGAGACTCGAATACAATTTATAATGATTATGTGATACGAATTATACAATTAATATTAATGATATTTTCTTTTGTGATACCAAGCAATATTTTTAACTAACATTTACAATTAAATAGATGACTTTTTCTTTTTATGAAAAACTGAAATCAAAAGTTTTGAAAAATCAAATCCTAAAAGTCTGGCAACAACTTTAAATGTGCAGAGTTTCCAATTGGAAATTGAATAATATCAATATAAGTGGATACAGAAATATTAAGAATAATTAAAATATTAAATTAAATAGAGTTTTTCTTTTCTTTTGTTTAGAAATACCTAAGATCAACAGTTTTCAAAAATCAAATCCTAAAAGTCTGGCAACTCCTTGAAATGTGCAGAGTTTCCAATTGGAAATGGGATAATATCAAAAGCAATATTGAGAATAATTGAAATGTATATTAAAATAACATCTATTCTTGGTAAAAAGACTGTAAACATTTTTTTTTTTTGATAGATTTAATCCCAATAGTCTCGGAACTTCATTGAAAATGAAGCTTGAAAAATGTCAAAATTCCGTTTCTTGAACACTTGACTTTGGAAGAAGGCAATCAGTATTTGTATTCTCTGTATTCCCATTCAAGATGGCTTAAAGATGTTTAAGATGACGAGAAGACGAGCTTATTTAGCCAGGACTGTGCCTTCATTGATTATGATGCATATCTTATATACTTTATTTTTTGAGGAGTTATCCTCTCAGTCAGCCTAAAATTTAAAAATTTCACATAGATCGGACTCTAGGCTCCGAAGTCAAGCCAGCGGGCATTTTCCATGCATGTGGCAGAAGCAGCACAGCGCAATCGCAGCCTTTTTGTTGACTTTTACCATAATTGTCTTCAGATGATATTAATAGTCATCTGTTATTATTATTATTATTATTATTGTGACTATGAATCGTGTTGCTTTTATTATTGCAATTAGATTTACATTTTTACAGCTGTCAGCAAGTTTTATTGCTTAAATTAAGTTTAGTCTCAGTCTAAACCTTTAATGAACCTCTGCTCGGACTGTCTGCCCGTCTGTCTGTCCGTCTGTCTGCCTGTCTGTCTGTCTGTCTGTCTGTCTGTCTGTCCGTCTGTCTGTCCGTCCGTCTGTCTGCCTCTCCTTGTTTATGTCTTAATGAGGTGTCACCTTTCGCCCGTGAGTGCAATGCGCCTCCTCCAAGCTGCTGTCGAAGCTAACCAACTGCAAATTTATAGTCCAAAGCTGAATGTGCCCATACACGCACACACACACACACACATATATATGGGAAGTGCATGTGTGTGTGCGTTCAGTTCAGGTTAAAGCAAATCATAAAAAACGTTGAAAAGCAAATAAAAAGAAAAAGAAAAAAAGAAAACGTTGCGCAGGCGCGTTGGCTCAGTCGATTTCTGTAGCTCGCCGCGCGCAGACCTGGTCCGAACGCAGCTCCGTCCAAAAGGCCAGATTTCGCCCGTTCCGGATTTCGTTTTCAACCGACTTACGCTTTTGCTTTCGTTTCGTAAGCGGCATTTCGCAAGCGCTTCTTCTTCTTGATCATGTTGAAGCTGAACTCTTTGCTGCTGGCGCTACTGCTGCTGCTGCCGCTGACGCTAGCCACGCCCATAGCGCCCACCACGCTGGATGGCGCCACGCCCATCGATGCACAGGTCTCCGCAGCGGATTTCGGTGCACTCGACGCCTTTGCCGAAGATGCCGAGGCCGAGAGCTCAGCGACGGCGGCCAGCGAGGCAGGCTTTAAGGTGCGCAACACGCGACTACAGTGAACACCAGCTAACATATACCATATCATTTTGTATTCAAACAGATCGCGCTGCTGCCCATGCCGGCCAAGACGGCGGAGTCTGTGAATCTGGAGCAAGAGGCGCTGCCCTCCAAGGTGCTCACCGCCTACGACAAGACGCACCAGAAGCTGGCGGACATAACGCACGTGAGTGCCTGATCACTGATCACTGATCACTGATCACTCTGATGACTGATCATTGATCACTGTTCACTTCGATCACGAATCACAGATCACTCTGATCACTGATTACTGATTACTAACCGCTGATCACTGATCACTGATCACTTGTTTCTTGCAGCCTGTGCCCATCTTGGACGGCATCAGCGAGCACGAGAAATATGGCAACAATGGCGACAAGTTTGACGGCATCTCGCGCTCAATTGTCAACGGTTACGAGGCCTTTTCCAATCTCCTCAACAGTTTCATACAGGTGAGTCTATCCCCCTCCCCCTGTGAGCTGTTTTCGCTTGCGCTGCTTGTTCACACGTTGCATTGCACAAGCGAAGCTCCGCTCGCGCTCTGCGCCGGCCACAATTAAAGCGCCATATGTAACCTCCGCCCGAAGGTCGAACCTTAAGCAAATAGTCCAAGAAATATTTAATTACTTTTTCAAATACGCATTTGGTTGTACGTAATTAAACGACATTTGTTGTTGGGCTAAATAAATATTATTTCGCTTATTTTGAATACTTTTGAAACGTTATGAAAAGGGTTAATATATAAATATATATGCTTGATCTGCATATATGCTATATATGCTGAGTCGATCTAGCCTTGCCCTTCTCTACGTCCATCTAGGAAACTAAAAGAGCTAAAATTTCATGTATATACGCCCATCAGGAGGAAAGCTTATTGTATTTTTAAATGATCGATAAATATCGAAAAGTTCAAATTGATTTATTTAATTGATTGTTTAACATAAAATGATAGATACTTGATGTGTATATTATATTATAGAAGCTAGCTCTTCAAGCCTTAGAGAAACTAGAAACAAAAACTAGATTTTCCTTATCGATTTTTATCGATTGCTTGGCAATACGGCAAGTTATCGACTATCGGTAACAATGAACGGGCACTAGGAAACCTACGCTTCTATAGCTCTTATAGATCGAGCAGTTCAGGCGGACGAATGTACGGACATGACTAGATCGACTCGGCTCTTAAAGCTGATAGAGTATATATATACCAAATTGGGTCGGAGATGCTTTCTTCTGTCTGCTACATACACTTGCACAAGAGAGAGGGAGAAAGAGAGAGAGAGAGAGAGAGAGCCTGGCTCTTTGGTATACACACACTAAAAGCCCTGAATATTTCAAGAAGATCGGACTATAAGCTCCGAAGTTATTCGGGCCTAAGGGAAGAAGCAACGCAGTTGGCGGCGAGCGTATGTTTATTTTTTTGTGTATGTATAGAAAGAAGCTGCTTGGCACGTTGTGCAGGGTATCTGCTCGTCAGGTATTCTCGACCTCGACTCGACACTTGCTCTTAACATAATATTGTAGTCAATGCCGAAGCGCATAGTTCCCGATGGATCTCAGTCTTATCAGGGAAACATAAATGTTGTTGATCTAGCTGCCCTTGTTAATATGAACAAGATTAGTTTGATTCGGGGTTTGGGGTGTCATTCATATTTTTCTTCATAGTCGAACACAACAAACAAATTCTTTCCAAAACAGAGAAACTGTATTAGAAATTATTCCATGGTATATCCAGACGAATAAGACATAGTGCATTAGAATGTATCCGTATGGTGTGACAAGTCGGGAGGATATCATGGGACTGGGCTGGAGGAACTCATCCTTTATGGGGTCGCGGGACTGTGAAATTGTTGTGCCGCCAATAGACATGTCCTATGTAGGCGAGACGGACCAGAAATCCAATCATCCGGCCCTAGGCAATATCAAAAGCCCCAAGATAGTGAGCAAAGCAAAAAAGACGCACAAGCTAGAGGTCAATGAGAAGGTTGTGAAGAAAGACAAGAAGAAGGTAAAGTCTGTTCCACTTAGTATCCTGTCTGCCATAACAAGCTTGAACATTCACAGTCCAGGAAACTGAGCACTAAACTAACCCAGGTTGGTCTGGTCAAGGTCCCGCCCAGGATATTGGCCACACAGTTCGCCGAACTTGATCTAAATGGGCCGGCTAACACTCGACAAATTGCGGATTATCTATTAGAGAATCGACTAACTGTGAACAATGGCAGCCTGCAGCTGGCGGCACCCAAGGAGCAACCGCACGGCGAGTGCCATTGCGCCGATAGACTCGGGCTCTTGGCTCGGCTGATCACATCGCGACACGATCCGATATATACCGCTAGAATATCGCCCTCTCTGAAGTATCTGAGCGATATTATGCAGGAGCTGTTGTCCATTCTGAGTCTATTGTTTGTGGTAGGCATGCTTTTGGCCTGTTACCTGTGCTCCAAGCCAAGGGAACTCTCGTTCCTGCAGCGGCTGCTGCGAAAACTATCCAGATTATTTGCAACCGATTCCTGTTACGATTGTGGTTTATGTTAGGAATTCCTTGATTTTGATGAACCAATTAAAAATTCTAAAAGAATCACAATTATACTATTCCAAGACAAACGTGTTCCAGCCCCCCAAGAGATCCATTCGAATTTGGAACTTTGCAAAGGATCTCTATAAAGTACCCCTTACTAAGCTTCTTCTCCCATTTAAGATCACGATTTGTTTTATTACTTTGTGTTTGAGGACAAATTTGTGTTATGTTAGACTATCTTTGGTTTCTCGGTGCTGCCCTGGTGCTGCACTTCCTCCAGCAGATTCACCAGATCTTTTTGGGATGCACTCCCTCACTGGTGTCACTTCCTCCACCTACTTCAGTAGTTCCTAATCCGACTCCAGTGATGATTCCTCGCTCAACTCGAGCTCGCTTCCTCCTGCAGGCCCTACCATCCACTTCTGGTTTTGAATCTGGAGCATCTCCTCTTCCAACTCCCGCGACGAGTCCTCACTCGGCGCAAGCTTTTCCGGATAAGCTATCTCCCGCCTATGCACTTGCTTTTGTGACTCGAGCTGCTCTTCTTCCGAGGAGTCCTCGCTCAGCGCAAGTTCTTCGACCTGTTTGAGGACTGGATAGTTTATCTCCTGCCGCTTTAGTTTTGGCTCCATCTGTTCCTCTTCCGACGAATCCTCGCTCGGCGCAAGCTCCCTTATCTGTGCGCCCTCCATTATTTCTCGATTCATTAACAGCTTTTGAGCTTCGATATTCCTCGAATCTCTACTCGATGCGAGCTTCCCTATCAGTCGAGAATCCTTAATCTCCTGTCTATTCTTGATCTGCTGATCCTCCGACTCCTCACTCCACGCGAGCTCTTTATCTCGGTGCACTCTCTCAAGCTCCCGGTCGAAAAGTTTTTGCTGCTCGACTTGCTCCTCTTCCGACGAGTCTTCACTCAACGCGAGATCCTTTCCGTTTTTCAGATCTAGATAGTTTATGTCCTGCCGTTTCTCCACTAGATTTTGCTGCTCTTCCTCTGACGACTCTTCGCTAAGCACAAGCGCCTTTTCCTGCCTCAGATCCGGATAATTAATCGCCTGCCCCTTAACAAGATTTTGTGGCTCTAGATGCTCCTCCTCCGACGAGACTTCACTCAGCGCGAGCTCATTTGTCCTTGACAAATTCGCTGCCTGGTCTACCAGCTTTTTCTTCTCCGAAGATTCCTTACCTAACGCGATCTCTTTTAGCCTTGACACTTTCTTAACTTTCCGTTTCGCCAGCTTTTGTTGCTTAAGCCGCTTTTTTGACAAGTCTTCACGTAACGCGAGCTCATCTATCTGTTCAGGTTCTATTATCTCCTGCCTCTTCTCCATTAAATTTTGCAGCGTGCGCTGCTCCTGCGATGAGTCCTTCCTCAACGCGAGCTCCTCTGCTTGGTGCTGCCCTTCCTCCAACTTCTGTGTCTCGAGCAGCTCCTCCTCGGAGGAGTCTTCACTCGGAACGAGTTTCCTTACCGGTGTCACTTCTCCGACCTTTCGTTTAGCCTCTTTTTTCAGCTTGAGCTGCTTCTCCGACGAGTTCTTACCTTTTAGGTGAACTTCCGAAGGACCTTTACTCAACGCGAGCTGCCTTACTTGTTTCAGATCTGGATAATATATCTGCTGCTCCTCTGATGAGTCCTCGCTCAGCGCAATCTCTTTTACCCGATTCACACCCAGATAGTTGATCTCCTGTCCCATTACTCGATTTTCCTGCTCGAACTGCAACTCCTTCGACGAGTCCTCACTAAGCGCAAGTCTACTTGTCTCTTCCGAATCTGGATAATGGTTCTCCGACGAATTTCTCACCCCTGCAACATTCTCAACCTTCCGTTTCACCTTCTGTTGCTTCTTGGGCTGCTCTTCCGACGAGTCCTTACCCATCGCGAGGTCCTTTACTCCTGGCACTAGGTCAAGCTTTTTCTTTTTCTTCTTCCGCTTTTGCTGCTTCTCCAAAGAATTACCCTTCTGTTTCACCAGCTCCAACGAATCCTTACCGAATGCAAACTCCTCAAACGTTTGCTGAAGCTGTTTCCCCGACGAGTCTTCACTTGAAGTGAGCTCCTTTATCTGTCCACGATCTGTTATCTCCTGAGAGTCTTCCGACGAGTCCTCTCTCAGCCCGACCTCTTTTTTCTCTGAACAGTCTTCATTCGACCCATGCTCTTTTACTGCTGGAACTTTGACAACCTTCCGGTTAAGCAGCTCGAGCTGCTCGAGCTGCTGCTCCTCCTCCGACGAGTCGTCGCTCAATGCGAGCTCCTGTATCCGTGGCTCTTCAACCTTTCGCTTCTTCACCAGCTTTTGTTGCTCCTCAGGACTCGGTTTCTTTAACTCTAGCACGGGCTGCTCGAGACTCAGATCCTCCGGCTCCAGCGACGGCTCCTGACCTATCGCCAGCCTTATGTCCTCCTGCATTGATGGCTCCTTCATCTTCCGCTGCTGTGCCTGCACGGGCTGCTGGTGGGGTTGTTGCTGCCTCCGTTGTTGCTGCTCCTGCCCCTGTTGCATTCGCAGCCGCTTTCTGGCCTGTATGTCAGCCAAGGTCTGCTCAATGGAACGATTGTCCCTCTTGAATCGGCTGGGCACAAAACCATAGCTATGGTTGGTGGACGTCTCGCGTACCGATTGCAGAGTGGCTGGCTCGGCAATGAGATGGGCATACTTGGCCCGATAGCTGACAACTGGTTTGCTTACGAGATTTGAGTGATCCCTGGCGCTGGGAGTAGGTCCAGAGGATTTGCTTGGTTCAGCTTGGGCAGCAGTTGCTGCAGCTGGAGCTGGAGCAGTTGCAGCTGGTGCAGCAGTTGGTGCGGGAAGTGCATCGGCTGGATTAGCAGAAGATGCACCAGCTGGGGCTTGCTGCTCGCTCCTGTCCTGCTCCTGCTTGGATCGATCCTTGCGTAGCTCCGCATACTGCCTGGCTATCTCCTTGTTCCAGCCCTCACCTTTGCGACGGGCGAACAGCTCATCAGCGTCAGGCGGATGTTCCTTCTTGTAGACGACTGACTGTCGTATATCCTCGCCCCGACCAAAGCTCATCGCCATAAAACCACCATATTCAGCCGCTTCCTGTATGATGGTTCGATGAATTCGGTCAAAGGGCTGGAACTCCATGCTGGTCCTGCCGTCCTTGGCAAAGCGTCCCATGCGCTCCTGCACATAGCTGCGGAAACGTGCCAGCTCCTCGCGCTGCTTGTTCTTCATGCGCTCCATGTCCTTGCGCTGCTTTTGCTGCTCACCTGCGATTCGATTCGATTAGAAGCTGAGAATTGAATCGCGCACTACATTTGCCGCTCACCTGTGTTGGGGGGCGCGTCCATTGCGTTCAGAATTGAATCGAGAAAATCCATAATTATTCCGAAAATATACCCTTTTCTTCAACACTTTTAATTGCAATTTATTAACTTTTCTACGAACGTTTCCCGTCTACCAACTTTTATTCAATTTTTGCGCAAATTATAAAAATTGTTCGACTTTACTCAATGTGACGCTCAGTTGTTGAGACTCGAAACACAAGTGAATTAAATTGTTTGTATAGAGCTACGAGCTCCACAATTTCAACATCCATAATTTTCAAGGCTGTTGCGATCCCAAGAACTGAGTGTTCAGTTTTCTATGAGCAAAGCTTTTCAAGGGCATAGCTCCGCCGACATATCCTCCGTCCACTACATTTTGCTATCGAAATTATGTTGCTTTTTTTCCGGCGAAATTATGTCGTTTTCAAACGACAACGAGACATAACTCCGCGCGGAGATATGACGTTTCGAATCGACATATCTCCGCCGCGCTAAAATCGACATCATTTCGCGCGGAGATATGACGTTTTCAAAACGACATATCTCCGCCGCGCTAAAAGTGACATAATTTCGTTGGAGATATGACGTTTCAGAACGACATATCTCCACCGACATAATTTCGTTGGAGATATGACGTTTCAAAACGACATATCTCCTCCGACATAATTTCGTTGGAGATATGACATTTCAAAACGACATATCTCCTCCGCGCTAAAAATTGCGTTGGAGATATGACGTTTCAAAACGACATATCTCCGCCGACATAATTTCGTAGGAGATATGACGTTTTCAAACGACATATCTCCGCCGCGCTAAAATCGACATAATTTCGCGCGGAGATTTTGATAAAAATCGTGATGGTCGATTTGGGTCAAAATTTAGATTTTCTATTTTTTGATGCCAGTCGATAGTACTGATCCTTACGAGTCCAAAATGGTATAAAATTTGAAAATCGGACACTATTTGGCCGAGATATTCAAAAAAATCATCAAAAAATGTTTGATTTTCGAACCGAACCCGATTTTGATAAAAATCGTGATGTAACCCCTTGCCATTTTGGTCGATTTGGGTCAAAATTTAGATTTTCTATTTTTGATGCCAGTCGATAGTACTGATCCTTACGAGTCCAAAATGGTATAAAATTTGAAGATCGGACTAGTGGACATAACTCCAATTTTGGACTCGTAAGGATCAGTACTATCGACTGGCATCAAAAAATAGAAAATCTAAATTTTGACCCAAATCGACCAAAATGGCAAGGGGTTACATCACGATTTTTATCAAAATCGGGTTCGGTTCGAAAATCAAACCTTTTTTGATGATTTTTTTGAATATCTCGGCCAAATAGTGTCCGATTTTCAAATTTTATACCATTTTGGACTCGTAAGGATCAGTACTATCGACTGGCATCAAAAAATAGAAAATCTAAATTTTGACCCAAATCGACCAAAATGGCAAGGGGTTACATCACGATTTTTATCAAAATCGGGTTCGGTTCGAAAATCAAACCTTTTTTGATGATTTTTTTGAATATCTCGGCCAAATAGTGTCCGATTTTCAAATTTTATACCATTTTGGACTCGTAAGGATCAGTACTATCGACTGGCATCAAAAAATAGAAAATCTAAATTTTGACCCAAATCGACCAAAATGGCAAGGGGTTACATCACGATTTTTATCAAAATCGGGTTCCGCCGCTCTAAAAACGACATATATCCGCGGAAGATATGACGTTTGAAAACGACATAACTCCAATTTTGGACTCGTAAGGATCAGTACTATCGATTTTTTTGAATATCTCGGCCAAATAGTGTCCGATCTTCAAATTTTATACCATTTTGGACTCGTAAGGATCAGTACTATCGACTGGCATCAAAAAATATAAAATCTAAATTTTGACCCAAATCGACCAAAATGGCAAGGGGTTACATCACGATTTTTATCAAAATCGGGTTTGGTTCGAAAATCAAACCTTTTTTGATGATTTTTTTGAATATCTCGGCCAATTAGTGTCCGATCTTCAAATTGTATACCATTTTGGACTCGTAAGGATCAGTACTATCGACTGGCATCAAAAAATAGAAAATCTAAATTTTGACCCAAATCGACCAAAATGGCAAGGGGTTACATCACGATTTTTATCAAAATCGGGTTTGGTTCGAAAATCAAACCTTTTTTGATGATTTTTTTGAATATCTCGGCCAATTAGTGTCCGATCTTCAAATTGTATACCATTTTGGACTCGTAAGGATCAGTACTATCGACTGGCATCAAAAAATAGAAAATCTAAATTTTGACCCAAATCGACCAAAATGGCAAGGGGTTACATCACGATTTTTATCAAAATCGGGTTCGGTTCGAAAATCAAACCTTTTTTGATGATTTTTTTGAATATCTCGGCCAAATAGTGTCCGATTTTCAAATTGTATACCATTTGGACTCGTAAGGATCAGTACTATCGACTGGCATCAAAAAATAGAAAATCTAAATTTTGACCCAAATCGACCAAAATGGCAAGGGGTTACATCACGATTTTTATCAAAATCGGGTTCGGTTCGAAAATCAAACCTTTTTTGATGATTTTTTTGAATATCTCGGCCAATTAGTGTCCGATCTTCAAATTTTATACCATTTTGGACTCGTAAGGATCAGTACTATCGACTGGCATCAAAAAATAGAAAATCTAAATTTTGACCCAAATCGACCAAAATGGCAAGGGGTTACATCACGATTTTTATCAAAATCGAGTTCCGCCGCTCTAAAAACGACATAATTCCGCGGAAGATATGACGTTTGAAAACGACATAACTCCAATTTTGGACTCGTAAGGATCAGTACTATCGATTTTTTTGAATATCTCGGCCAAATAGTGTCCGATTTTCAAATTTTATACCATTTTGGACTCGTAAGGATCAGTACTATCGACTGGCATCAAAAAATAGAAAATCTAAATTTTGACCCAAATCGACCAAAATGGCAAGGGGTTACATCACGATTTTTATCAAAATCGGGTTCGGTTCGAAAATCAAACCTTTTTTGATGATTTTTTTGAATATCTCGGCCAATTAGTGTCCGATCTTCAAATTGTATACCATTTTGGACTCGTAAGGATCAGTACTATCGACTGGCATCAAAAAATATAAAATCTAAATTTTGACCCAAATCGACCAAAATGGCAAGGGGTTACATCACGATTTTTATCAAAATCGGGTTCGGTTCGAAAATCAAACCTTTTTTGATGATTTTTTTGAATATCTCGGCCAAATAGTGTCCGATCTTCAAATTTTATACCATTTTGGACTCGTAAGGATCAGTACTATCGACTGGCATCAAAAAATAGAAAATCTAAATTTTGACCCAAATCGACCAAAATGGCAAGGGGTTACATCACGATTTTTATCAAAATCGGGTTCCGCCGCTCTAAAAACGACATATATCCGCGGAAGATATGACGTTTGAAAACGACATAACTCCAATTTTGGACTCGTAAGGATCAGTACTATCGATTTTTTTGAATATCTCGGCCAATTAGTGTCCGATCTTCAAATTTTATACCATTTTGGACTCGTAAGGATCAGTACTATCGACTGGCATCAAAAAATAGAAAATCTAAATTTTGACCCAAATCGACCAAAATGGCAAGGGGTTACATCACGATTTTTATCAAAATCGGGTTCCGCCGCTCTAAAAACGACATATATCCGCGGAAGATATGACGTTTGAAAACGACATAACTCCAATTTTGGACTCGTAAGGATCAGTACTATCGATTTTTTTGAATATCTCGGCCAAATAGTGTCCGATCTTCAAATTTTATACCATTTTGGACTCGTAAGGATCAGTACTATCGACTGGCATCAAAAAATAGAAAATCTAAATTTTGACCCAAATCGACCAAAATGGCAAGGGGTTACATCACGATTTTTATCAAAATCGGGTTCGGTTCGAAAATCAAACCTTTTTTGATGATTTTTTTGAATATCTCGGCCAAATAGTGTCCGATCTTCAAATTTTATACCATTTTGGACTCGTAAGGATCAGTACTATCGATTTTTTTGAATATCTCGGCCAAATAGTGTCCGATCTTCAAATTTTATACCATTTTGGACTCGTAAGGATCAGTACTATCGACTGGCATCAAAAAATATAAAATCTAAATTTTGACCCAAATCGACCAAAATGGCAAGGGGTTACATCACGATTTTTATCAAAATCGGGTTTGGTTCGAAAATCAAACCTTTTTTGATGATTTTTTTGAATATCTCGGCCAATTAGTGTCCGATCTTCAAATTGTATACCATTTTGGACTCGTAAGGATCAGTACTATCGACTGGCATCAAAAAATAGAAAATCTAAATTTTGACCCAAATCGACCAAAATGGCAAGGGGTTACATCACGATTTTTATCAAAATCGGGTTTGGTTCGAAAATCAAACCTTTTTTGATGATTTTTTTGAATATCTCGGCCAATTAGTGTCCGATCTTCAAATTGTATACCATTTTGGACTCGTAAGGATCAGTACTATCGACTGGCATCAAAAAATAGAAAATCTAAATTTTGACCCAAATCGACCAAAATGGCAAGGGGTTACATCACGATTTTTATCAAAATCGGGTTCGGTTCGAAAATCAAACCTTTTTTGATGATTTTTTTGAATATCTCGGCCAAATAGTGTCCGATTTTCAAATTGTATACCATTTGGACTCGTAAGGATCAGTACTATCGACTGGCATCAAAAAATAGAAAATCTAAATTTTGACCCAAATCGACCAAAATGGCAAGGGGTTACATCACGATTTTTATCAAAATCGGGTTCGGTTCGAAAATCAAACCTTTTTTGATGATTTTTTTGAATATCTCGGCCAATTAGTGTCCGATCTTCAAATTTTATACCATTTTGGACTCGTAAGGATCAGTACTATCGACTGGCATCAAAAAATAGAAAATCTAAATTTTGACCCAAATCGACCAAAATGGCAAGGGGTTACATCACGATTTTTATCAAAATCGAGTTCCGCCGCTCTAAAAACGACATAATTCCGCGGAAGATATGACGTTTGAAAACGACATAACTCCAATTTTGGACTCGTAAGGATCAGTACTATCGATTTTTTTGAATATCTCGGCCAAATAGTGTCCGATTTTCAAATTTTATACCATTTTGGACTCGTAAGGA